GAGGGACTATATTCACCAAATTAGATGTGGCCCAGGCCTATCAGCAACTGACCATTGATGAGGCAACCGCTGAAGCGCAAACTGTCTAAAACTCAAAGGAACTATAGCCAAATTGACAAGGAAGCACTTGCCGCAGTTGCAAGAGTTAAGCGCTTCCATGAATATCTTTATGGAAGACAATTTGACTTGATCACCAATCACAAACTGTTGCTGGGCATCCTTGCCAGAGGTAGACCCACACCAAACATCCTATCGCACAGGATGCTAAGATGGACTGTGTTCCTGGCCGCATACAGCTACTGCCTAATTCACTGGCCAGGAAAAGATATCTCCCATGCCGATGCCCTGAGCTGCTGTCATCTTTCTTCCAGACCTAGCCAAAGACCCGGTGCCATCCACCACAGTACTATTGATAGAGAAGCTACAGCCTGGACTGATGACGTCTACAGAGATCACAAGACTCACAGCCCATGACAAAACAATGGCACAGATTTCAAACCGGGTGTGGAGGAGATGGCCAGAAGCAATAGAAGGGGACGAATTCAAACCATATAAGAACAGACAAGCTGAGCTTTCAGTGCTTAAGGGCTGCTTACTCTGGGGGGACAAAGTAGTCACCCCCCCACTAAGGAATAGAATACTGACACTGCTACACAATGGACACCTGGGGATAGTCCGAATGAAAGCCCTGGCCAGAAGCTATGTGTGGTGGCCAGGGCTGGACAAAGAGATAGAAATCTGGGTCACCACATGCACCCCATGTCAAGAAACCAGACCAGCCCCCCTGGCAGCGAGGCCCAGAAAATGGGAGATACCCACAGTTCCGTGGGCCCGGGTACACGTCAACTTTGCTGGGCTTTGCCAAGGGCAAACCTTCCTCATAATCGTTGACACGTACTCTAAGTGGTTGGAAGTAATACTAATGAAGTCCACCACATCAGAGGCCACCATAAGAACCCTCTGATGACTGTTCTCCACCCATGGGTTCCCAGATGTCCTTATCTCCGACAATGGGACACAGTTCACCTCGTAGCCATTTGAAATAGAAGCAGAAGATAGAAAATTAAATCAAGGAGGATATGTAAATAAAAATAAAGTAAATATATAACTAAATAATGAATGTTGAATAAATAGTATAAGGAAATATGACTATTAGATTTGGAGGCTGTGATAAATGTGATATTAATAAGGTCTGATATTAATTAACTATATGATAAAACCTAACCATTTTTAATTAAATAATAGAAACTGTTTAACAAGGATAAGTGAAGATTATGGTGAATAGATTGAGTGAATAATGGTTATAATTAATATGTGTTATTTGTATTTAAAAGAGATTGTAACCTGACAGTAGACTGCTCTTGTGGTATGGAAATTTTATATATAATAATGGAAATTGCACAATGAACAATAATAATACAAAAAAATCTGTGATAAAACCTATATTTTCACAATTTTTTTTAATGTACTCATGGAAAAAGAAACTGATGCTATTGTGATCTACAAATCATGTTCCATGTATACACATGCCCATAGAAGACCCAAACTATATATGTACCAAATGTAAACTAATTGAGTTACTAGAAGAAAAAATAAAGGGTCTAGAGGAAACTAATCACTCTGAAACTCAACCTACAAATGAGAAACCTCAAACCTTGCAAGAAGAATATGCCCAAATTAAACATAATAATGATCAAACAACTTCTAATAAAGTTGACCCCTTAGAAGAAGACAGATGGAAACATGTCACTCATAGACAAAAACACAAACATAGTACAATATCCCTGTCCAACCCAACCCACTCTGAAACATCTCCACTGGTGCTGAGCAATTGATTTCATAGACTCTCCCTGGAAGAAAACATGCAGACACCTAGAAAAGAATAATCATCAAATGTCCCTTTAAAAAGTAGCATCATCAAGTGCTTCTGTAACAGGTAGAAAAATATCCCAAAACCTCCCTGTTGCAATGGCTAAAGGGTTGGTGTTGCCAAAAGAACTTTGGATTCCAGGACCATGGTCTGCACTACCCCAAAAATGGGCTTTTGGCAAAGGATTGGTTATACCTCACAAAAACAGGGTGAACTTGAATTATTAATGTATGAAAATAGAGATGATATAGTTGGAATTACCGAAACTTGGTGGGATGAAACCCATGACTGGAACATACTAATAGAAGGATACAAACTGTTTAAAAAAAACCAGACCCCATAAAAGAGGAAGTGAAGTTGCATTATACGTAAAAGACCACTATATTGCTACAGAAAAGTATTAAACCAAAGATAAAAACCTCCTAGAATGCATATGGGCCAATATAAAATAAAAAAGGAACAACATGGTAGTAGGTACTAAAAGCCACCCAACCAAGCAGGAAAAGTAGATGTACTTTTGGTTAACCAATTAACAAATTTATGTAGGAAACACACTACCATTGTAATGGAGGACTTCTATTACCCTGACATCAACTAGAAGAAATTGAATAGATTCCTTACCAACCTAGCTGACAACTTTGTTGTCCAAAAGGTATAGGAGGAAACTAGATGGACAATCATACTGGGCTTAATTCTCACAAACAGAGAAGAAGTGATAGAGGGAGTTGAAAATGCAGGAACCTTGGGTAAGAGTGACCATGTCAACATAATGCAAACACAAGCAATAGAACACAATACCAGAATCTTAGATTTTAAAAGAGCTAATTTTAAGAAACTCAGAGAGAACTTGGATGTCAAAGATGACTTGGATGAATCTTGTGGAAATCTTTTGGAAAAAATGTATTTTTGAGGTTTGATGGCTAATACCATTTTTTTTGGAGTAGTACCATAAAATTTTATATCAATGGAAAGACAGTTTAATCAAGAATGTAATGCAACAAAGTTTGTTCAATTATCCCTATTCTATGAAAGGTTATAGCCAAATAACCAGAAAAAAGAAGCACAACTTGCTTAGGTTGATATCAGGTAGCTTTCCTTCATCTGATTGTAGCCAATGAGCATGAGTGTTTAGAGAGCCAATCAGGTGTCATCTTGTTTTGGCAATGAGCCAATCAGATCACAGTAGGATTCAGTTATTGATGTCATGTATTGAAGCGGAGAGGAGGACATTTGTCAGTGTGTTATGTGATCGCTATCAAGTTGGTTTGGTTTTTTTGGGTTCTTTCATTTAGTAAGCTTGTAAAATGTAATAAAATTAAAGTAATGGTGCAAAGAGTTGACTGGTTGCCCAGAAGGTGATGTAAAATAGTATTATTACATGAAGAAGGCTACAGTTATAAAGAAATCAGAAGAAAAATTGGTAGAAACTTAACCAAAGGTGGCATTTCTAAGTTTTTGAAGAGGTATAAGGAGACTCAGTCACTACAAAACCACACTGGTAAAGGCAGGAAAAGGTGCACAACGGCTTTTGATGATAGAAGAATTAAAGACTGTGCCTACATGACAGAAGAAAACCATCTGGCTGTATACAAGATGGGAAGGTAAACACACTCTAAAGTTCTGTGATATAAGCACCGTTACCTAACAAAACTGAGACCAGAACCTGAGAAACTAAGTATCAAGATGATTTTTACTGACTTTTATTTGAATGATATTTAAGCCACTTTATTTGTATTACTTCAGTTCATCTTGGATTTTACCTAAATGGAAAAATAAATTATATGGATTCCAGATTCACTCTATAAGGGGAAATACAAGTTATCAACTTGCATAGGAAGGCATATCTATGCCACTTCACAGTGCTTTACAGACCTCTCTAAGCATTTTACAGAGTCAGCATATTGTTTCCAACAATCTGGGTCCTTATTTTACTAACCTCAGAAGGGTAGAAGGCTGACTCAACCTTGAGCTGGTGAGATTCCAACTGCCAAACTTCTGGCAGCTGGCAATCAGCAGAAGTAGCCTGCAGTACTGCATTCTAACCACTGCACCACCACACAATATGCTTTCCAGGCCTGTTGATTTATGCCACCAAGCCTCTCTTTATTAAAAATAAATATTGAATCTAAATACCTACAATTCTGGGATTCCTATAACATGTATTATGAAGAATAGTTGTGCAATATAAATTTCAATTACAGGTAGTCCCTGATTTACAGTTCATTTAGTGACCATTCAAAATTTCAATGGCACTGAAAAAGTGACTTAAGACAGTTGCAGAATCCCCAGGGTCACATGATCAAAATTCAGATGCTTGGCAACTGACTCATATTTATGGCATTGCAGTGTCCAGGGTCATGTGATCAACTTTTACAAACTTCTGACAAGAAAAGCAAATGGGGAAGCCAGATTCACCTAACAACCGTGTTACTAACTTAACAACTGCAGTGATTCACTTAACAACCATGGCAAGAAAGATCGTAAAATGGGGTAAAATTCACTTAACAATTGTCTTGCTTAGCAACAAAAAATTTGGGCTCAGCTCTGGTTGCTATCTGTACCACAAAACTGCTTAAACAAAACTAACAATATATGTAAAAGTAAAGCGAATACCAACCCTGGCCGACTACATCCATTCCTCCCTATCCAGTTTGAAGAAAATCTTGCTGCAACTCACTATTCACTAAAAGATTTCTGCTACTGTTTCCAATATGAAAGGAACCTTCTATTTTGTGTTCAGAATCTTCCAGTCATCCCTCCCCTGTCCAATGTCCTCTCTCAAAGCTCAGAGAGTGATTTCCAGTCAGGGTAAACAATACCAACCCTTTCTTAACTATTTGTAAGTATAGGATCATATCATATCACAAATGGAGCACAAGGTGGTGCTATTGTATAACAGAGAACAATATCCAAAAGCCAATTGCTCTTCTGGTGGCCTGCAAAAATAAGACATTATTTGGACCTCAAAGACAAAGACAACAGAGTTCATGAAAAGCAGACTTAAGAAATCTGGGGGGAAACACACCCAGTTCAAGATACAGAGATAGGACAAAATAAAGATTTCTTGGGAGGAATAACTGTGGACAGTGATTCCTGTGTTTTCATTCTGCATTCAAGTGAACCTGTATCAATGGAAAGAGGTTGCATTAAAAGGCAAGTTCTGGCTTTTTTTCTCTGTCTGAATATTCTTTGTCTAGAAATGTGTGAGTCTTTGCGCTATTCAGTGCCTGAAGAAAAGAAAACTGGATTTCTAGTAGCTAATGTGCTGAAAGACTTAAAAATAGATGTAAAAGAATTATCTGCTAGGAAAGCCAAGCTTGTTCCAAAGGGCTCTAAAGAGTATTTCCTGCTGGATCTTCATTCTGGGAACCTAATATTAAAGGATACAATTGACAGAGAGGTTCTGTGTGGTCAGAATGAGCCCTGTATTCTATTCTCTGAAATTGTGCTAGAAAATCCATTAGTGCTACATGGAATTGAAGTTGAAGTAGAAGATGTGAATGATAATGTTCCCAAATTCTCTAAAACGGAGTTCCTTTTTGAAATATCTGAACACATTCCAACAAAGACCAGATTCCCTTTGGAAAGGGCTGAAGATTTAGACAAAGGAGAAAATAATGTTCAGAATTATACACTTTCTCCTAATGAACACTTTAAACTAGAAGTGCAAACTCACACTGATGGTAGCAAATATGCAGAACTGATTTTAGAGAAAGCATTAGACCGTGAGACGATTCCTCAGATTACCCTAATTTTACAAGCAGTGGATGGAGGGTTTCCAAGGAGAACTGGTGTAGTGCAAATAATAATTGATATTTTAGATGCAAATGATAATGTCCCTCACTTTGAACAATCTGTGTACAAGGTGCAGCTTGTGGAAAACAGCCCTCCAGGTTTATTGGTCACTAAAATTGCAGCCAGTGATGGTGATAAAGATGCCTATGCTCACATTACTTATACTTTTAGCCAAGTACCAGGAAATGTGCTCAGATCATTCAATTTAAACAATCATACTGGAGAAATTACTCTTGTAGGGAAAATTGATTATGAAGAAAATAGCAAATATGAACTGAATATCAAAGCCACAGATGGAGGGGGATTGTCTGCTTACTGCAAAGTCCAGGTGGACATTGAAGATGAGAATGACAACGCCCCAGAAATAAACCTATCGTCTGTCATTAATCCCATACCAGAAGATTCTCCCCCAGGAATAGTGGTGGCCCTCTTTGGTGTCAGAGATCAAGACTCTGGGTACAACAGCAGAACTATCTGCAACATTGATTCAAACTTGCCCTTTAGCCTAAAATCCACAAAGAACAATAATTACCAGCTTGTGACTCAACAGCCATTGGACAGAGAAAAAATGTCACAATATAACATCACCATCATAACCACTGACCAAGGCTCTCCCAGTCTCACTTCAATGAAAATTATTACTATTGATATTTCAGATGTCAATGACAACCCTCCAGAATTTGAAAGATCTTTCTATGATTTCCACTTGAGAGAAAATAACATTCCAGGTTTGCTCATTGGATCAGTCCATGCTGCAGATGTGGACACAGAAGAGAATGCCAAAGTAACCTACTCTCTTTTGTTTGGAAAGATCAGGGAAGAGCCTGCATCATCTTATATCTCCATTAACTCTGAAACTGGGAACTTGTATGCCATTCGAACTGTGGATTATGAGGATATACAGGATTTCCAGGTGATGGTGAGGGCTGTAGACAAGGGCTCCCCTCCACTGAGCTCAGAAATAATGGTCCGAGTTCTTATCATGGATGAAAATGACAATGTCCCCTTCATCCTCTGCCCCCTTCAGAACAGCACTTCTCCATCAAATGATCTGGTTCCCCGGGGAGCAGAGACAGGCTACCTAGTCACCAAAGTGGTGGCAGTGGACAGAGATTCAGGGCAGAATTCTTGGCTTTCCTATCAACTGCTGAAGGCCACAGATCCAAGTCTCTTTGCTGTTGGGACTCAGAATGGAGAGGTGAAAACCATGAGGCCAATGAATATCCGAGACAGTTTCAAGCACACTCTTATTGTGGCAGTTAGGGATAATGGGCATCCTCCTCAGTCTGTCTCTGCAACCCTAAAAATTCTTCTAGTGGATGGCTTCTCTGATCCTTATATGAAGATTATGGCTAAACCTAAGGGTGAAGTCCCACAAGAGGTAGATCCTACTCTAACAATGTATTTGATTATCTGCTTAGTTGCCATCTCATCCATTTTTCTGCTTTCTGTCATGGTGTTTATTGCAACCAAGTTTCAGAAGCGAAGGAAGTTCATAGGAAGTTCTCATTCTGCATCAAATTTCCCTGTGGAACAAAATGTGCAAGAAAATTGTGGAGATTGTGCTTCTGACACATATTGTCAGGCCTATAATTATGAAATATGTTTAGCTGGTGGGTCTTTAAATAGTGAGTTCAGATTCCTCAAGCCAGCGTTCCCCATTTTTTCAATGGATCCAAGGAATTCAACAGTCTCTCAGGATACTAAAACTCATGTCAAGGAAAATGAACTGATCTCTCAGGTAAGAATAATGTTAAACCTTTCCAACAGTTTTTTATCTTAAATTTCTAATATTTGATTATTTAAAGATGTCATGGGGAGCAGATTTTCTATGGTTAATTCTAAAAAGTTGTGTCCATGACTGCATTGTTCTGCATTTATTTCTGAATAAATCCTTTTGTTTTGCTTTGTTTTCTTTAACTTTCCTTTGGCTTTTTCTCACTGTTTTTCTGTAATCATCTTTTGTAACATTCATTTCTGTTGATCATTTGAAGAAGTCAAAATCGTCTTTCCTATTAAGATAGAGAATTTTCATGTGATTCTTTGAGTCTCAGAAAGACTGGAAAGAACTGCAGCTGAAAGGAAAGTTAAAGGCTTTGAATAAAAAATCCTTTCACTTCAGAAAAAACTCCTCCTATGATCTCTTCCTCACTTATGCATTGATGGTCAGGATGTATATTCTATTTCACATTAGTTTCTGGTTAAAATAGAAAAAAGATATATAAATGTCAGTATATTGTGGGATATGAAATTGGGAAGACAGGTGTTCCAATTAAAGCTAGATTCCTTGCAAATGCTGTTACCATATTAGCAATTGTTACTATGTTACAATATTTTACTGGAAAACACAGAGGTATTTTTAAACATGTGGGCAATATGGGTATATTGATCATGATTCAAGTGATTTTAGGTGCTGATCACATGAAGATTGTTATACATCTTGTACAAAGAGTTGAATGAGTCCAATCTGCACATACTGGCCCAAAAAACTCACAAAAGTTTTTGCCAAGCAAAATGAAAGTCCAGTGAGTAAACTGGAGTCCCCCATCATTTCATTTTGCCATAATCTCCAGCTTTAAACAAAATCTTCCATTTGCTTTTAGCATGTGGTAGAAAAACAGATTTACATAAACTCACTAATCCTTGTTAGTGCCATCATTCAAATGGTGTCACACAACTGAAGACTTCCCATATTCAGGGCACAGATATAGAATAGTAATATCTGGCTCAATAGTAGTAACTGCAAGAGGGACTCTTAGTGGACAATCACTTAAATATTAGCTAGCAGTGTGCTAGAGCCACCAGAAAAGCCAGTGCAATTCTAGGCTGCATTAACAGAGCGATAGAATAGAATAGAATAGAATAGAATAGAATAGAATAGAATAGAATAGAATAAGCTGGAATCAACATCAAGTGAAGTGTTAATACCATTTTATAATGCTTTGGTAAGACCATACTTGGAATATTGCATTATGTTTTGTTCGCCATGATATAAAAAAGGTGTTTAGATTCTATAAGAAGTGCAAAGAAGAACAACAGAAGATGATTAGGGGATTGGAGGAGAAAACATATGAAGAATGGATGCAGGAATTGAGTATGTCAAGTTTAATGAAAGAGTAGGGATTGGGGTGACATGATAGAAATGTTCCAATTTCTAAGGGCTGCCACAAACAAGAGAGGGTGACCCTATTCTCCAAAGCACCAGAAAACAGGACCAGAGGCAATGGATGAAAACTAATCAAGGACAGAAACCAACTGTAAGGACCAGCCTTCAGAACAAGTATAGACTCTTGATAAACTTTGTATTTCAAAAGGAACCTTTAATTGAAAAGGGGGTGAAAGCAAATCAGAATTCAAAGCAGGCTCTGAGGTCCCTCAGGGCATACAACTAGGATAAAGGAGATTAGAAACCCTTCCCAACAGTCTGATGTGGATTCCCCCAATCCACAGGTGTGAAGATGTTATTGTACCACGCCTCTGAGAAAGCAGATAAGAAAATTTTCTCAGGGCTATCTTCCAGCGCTTGTAATCCACATGGTCGCCCTTCTCCCCTTGCATTCCCCCAAGAGGTGAGAATTTTCTGGACATCTGGGGCACTAGGCAATGGTTATAAATCAGGTAAAAGGTTATGCAAAAGACAAGGCAAGAAATAGGACACCTAGGATACATAGAGAGGAAAAAGAACTAAATGTATCAAATGCCCTTCTTTCACTGAAGAATGGCAGGTACACAGATCTGACATATTGACTTCCTCACAAAAATGGAAAATTCACCTGGAAGACATAAAACATATAATACATTAAGAATTAGGATGGTTTGTGAGGGTATTTCCGGTGGAATTTCCTTAACGGTTTGGGGGCTTTTACATGTTTTTGGCTACCCATTCATTTGGGGAGGAGGGTAGGTGTTTCCATGCTACTAAATATTGTGTGGAGCCATGGTGAGCGTGTGAGTCCAGGATATCTTTAATTTGAAAATGTTGTTCCCCTTCCATCATAATGGTGGTTGGAGCTGTGTGAAGAGGGGTTCTGATCTTTGAAGTTATTCTGGTTTGAGTAGGCTGCAGTGAAATAAGTGTCTTAGGAAGTAGGAGTTCTGCAGTGACAGGGTGAATAATTCTGGTGATGGGAAATGGGCCAATGAATTTTGGTCCCAGTTTCTTAGAAGGTTGTAATGATTGTAGGAACTTTGTAGATAAATATACGCAGTTCCCAATTTTGAACGATTTGGGTTCACAGTGTTTTTTGTTAGCTTAAGCTTTAAAAGATGCTCTAGCCTCTTGTAGGGCTAGTCTGACCACTGGCCAAGTGGTTTGTAAATTGTTTATCCACTCCTTAAGGGAGGAATGTCAGGTTGCTTGGTGGGTAGCTCTGGCATGGGGTTGAATTCTTGTCTTGTAGTTACCTAGAATGGGGTGAAACCAGTGCTACTGTGTACAGAGTTATTATAAGCTACCTCAGCAAAAGGTCAGTCCAATTTTCCTGTTGGTAATTAACATCTTAAATATTGTTCTAATATTCCATTGGCTCTCTCCACCCCCCCCCCCAATTCATCTGGGAGTGTTGCAAAGAGTTCAACCCCTGAGCAGAGCCCAATAGGTTTTTTAAAGCCCACCAAAATTTGCAGGTGAATTGAACCCCCCTGTCTGAGATAATCTATTGGGGAACTCCATGGAGGCGATAAACGTGTACTAAAAACATTTTTGCTAATGCTTTGTCTGTTGGGATCTTTTGGCAGGGTATAAAATGGACCTGTTTTGAAAAGAAGTCTATTATAATCCAAACGCCTGTTTCCTGCACTTTCAGGCAGCTCCACTACAAAATCCATAGAAATGTCTCTCCAGGGTGCTGAAGGTTCTGCTACAGTTTGTAGAAGTCCTGGGGATTTTCCTTGTCATCTTTTTGCAGCTGTGCAGGTGGGGCAGTTAGCAACATAGCTCTCAATGTCTTTTTTTAAGGATGGCCCCCAGAATTGTCTTTTGATGTACAGAGTTTTTACAAATCCAGCTATTTTGGAATCATGGCATTGTTTCATGAGGTCCAGTCTCTGGCTGGCAGGGACGTAAAGTTTGTTCTCAACCCAGGCTAGACCGTCTTTTAGTAAGCAAATATTTTTGTGGGCTTGGAGCCAATCATCCTTAAATAGTGCCTCCTTAAATTTGGAAGCCGTTGCATTGTCAACAAGTGGTTCTTTTTTTTTGCTTGTGCTCAGGTGATCATTTTGGTAGCTAGCTGGGGTGTTGGAGTATGGGTTTAACAATTTCAGTCTTTTTGGTGTTGTACTGGGGTTTCCCTGAAAGGGTATTGGCCAAGAAGTTTTTCCCTACTAAGAGATACTTGAGAGTGAAATTAAAGTGTTTAAAGTATTGCGCCCAACATACTTGTTTGGGGGAGAGCTTCTGTGGAGATTTCAGGCTTCTAAAATTTTATGATCAGTCCAGACTTCAAAGGGGATTTTGTTCCCTTCTAGGATATGTCTCCATGTGAGGAGGGCCCATCTCATGGCATATGCCTCTTTCTCCCATATGGCCCATCTTTGCTTGGTTTCTGTCAGTTTCTTGGAAGTGTATGCACATGGTTGCAATTGTCCATGTTCATTATTTTGGAGTAGGACTGCTCCCACTGCCATGTTGCTGGCGTCTGCTTGGATGATGAATGGTTGCTCTGGGTCTGGGTGTTTTAGGATAGGCTTGGCTGTGAATAATTGTTTGAGTGTTTTGAATGCTGCTTGACATTAAGGGTTTGCCTTGGTTTCAGTCCCCCCCTTTTGTTTTTAACAAGTTTTTAATGGGGCAGGCGATATTTGCAAAAGCCACAATGAACTAATGGTAAAAGTTTGCAAAACCCAGGAAACTTTGTATTGTTTGCAGGTTTGGGGTGGCTCCCAATCGATGATGGCTTTTACTTTTTGTGAGTCCATCTCTATTACCTTGTGAGATATTCTATATCCCAGGTAGTCAATTTTTTTCTTGGTGGAACTCACATTTAGAGAGTTTTTCATAGAGTTTGGCAGCTTGGAGTTTCGTGAGAACTGCTCAGACTAGTCTTATGTGCTCTACTTTTGTTTCAGTGTAAATTAAAATGTCACCAAGATAAACTAGGACCCTTTGTATAAATGTTCATGGGGTACATCATTAATTAGCTGCATAATTACAGCAGGGGCTCCTTGTAATCCAAAAGGGAGTATCTTAAATTGGTAGCATCCCAGTGGGGTGTTTTAAGCAGTCTTCTACTCATCCCCTTTCCTAATTCTGATGTGATAGTATGCCTCTCATAAATCTAGCTTAGAAAAGATTTTTATTTTAGAGAGGTGGGTCAGCACGTCCTTCATGAGTGGGAGTGGGTACATATTCAAACCTGCTCTTTATCCTAAAATCCACAAAGAACAATAATTACCAGCTTGTGACTCAACAGCCATTGGGCAGAGAACAAATGTCACAATATAACATCACAATCATAACGACTGACCAAAGCTCTCCCAGTCTCACTTCAATGAGAATTATTACTATTGATATTTCAAATGTCCAGAATTTGAAAGATTTTGTATGATTTCCACTTGAGAGAAAATAACATTCCAGGTTTGCTCATTGGATTAATTCATGCAATTGATTTGGATGCAGAACAGAATGCTTTGTTTGGAAAGATCAGAGAAGAGCCTGCATCATCTTACATCTCCATCACCTCTGAAACTGGGAACTTGTATGCCATTCGATCTGTGGATTACGAGGATATACAGGATTTACAGGTGATGGTGAGGGCTGTAGACAAAGGCTCCCCTCCACTGAGCTCAGAAACAATGGTCCGAGTTCTTATCACAGATGAAAATGACAATGTCCCCTTCATCCTCTGCCCCCTTCAGAACAGCACTTCTCCATCAAATGATCTGGTTCCCCGGGGAGCAGAGACAGGCTACCTAGTCACCAAAGTGGTGGCAGTGGACAGAGATTCAGGGCAGAATTCTTGGCTTTCCTATCAACTGCTGAAGGCCACAGATCCAAGTCTCTTCGCTGTTGGGACTCAGAATGGAGAGGTGAAAACCATGAGGCCAGTGAACATTTGAGACCGTTTCAAACTTACTCTTATTGTGACAGTTAGGGATAATGGGCATCCTCCACAGCTTGCCTCTGCAAGTTTGAGAATTCTTCTATTGGATGGCTTCTCTGATCCTTATATGAAGATTATGGATAATCCTAAAGGTGAAGTCCCACAGGAGGATATTCTAACACTGTATTATATGCTTGGTTGCCATCTCATCCATTTTTTGGCTTTCTGTTTATTGTAATCTAATATCAGAAATGGCAGAAATTCATGGGCAGCATTAGTTCTGTATCTAATCTAATTTTGGAACACAATTTGCAAGAAAATGGTGGTGATCCTTGTTCTGATACAATTACGAGGTAGGTTTCACTGGTTGATTTTTGACTAGTAAGTTCCAATTCTTCAGGCCTCTGTTTCCTGGGTTTTTTCCCCTTCTTCTTTCTTTAATGGATTCTCTTTGCAGCCAAATGCATACAAGAAATTCAATAGATTCCCATAAAACCAAAACTCATATTAAGGAAGATAAACTGATGTCCAAAGTTGGAATAGTATGAAAACATTTCAAACAGTTTTACATTTTAATTTATAATATTTTATTATTTGAATATTTGTTGTCAATTGTAGAACTGTTTTTCTTGTGATTAATTCTAGAAAAGATTTATCTGTGAGAAGATTGCTTTGTCTGGTATACATTTCTTTCTTTTTCTTTTGTTTTTCTTTCTCACTGTTTCTCTGTATTTCACTTTTGTAATCTTCAATCCTGTTCATTTTGAGGAAGTCACAATAATATTTCATGTGATTCTTTGAGTTTTCAAAGTATTGAAAGAAAAGTAGCAACAGACAGGGAGCATAGGGGCTTTGAATACAGTAGCTCTTACTTCAGAAAGAACCTCTCCTATCTTCTCCTCCTGTGTTAGGCTAGAACTAATACTATTTTGATCACATTCATATTTTTTAAAATTAAAACACTAATAATTTCAAAATAAGGATTGCCTACGGTTACATATCATGTGGACTTTATTCATATTATTCTATGACTGAAATTAGTTAAATCTAAATGGAGATGATTAATGTAGATCCTTTCTTCTTATTGTTCTGTTCCAATATAATCTAAACAATTTATTTCTGGGTACCCTCAGGGAAAATTATAATTGCAATTATAGAGTTGTATCCCTCTCTCTCAATGTGCTGTTGAACAATAATATTATTGTTTGGGGATGAGGTAACTCACCAACCTTAAGAGCCATTATTTCCTGTGGAATCTTCATATTTTGAATAGGTAGAGAGCCTTCAAAACTATGATTTACTGCTTTTAATTTAGAACAGACTCATGAAATAATAATCAGTCCTACAGGAGGATTCTTCAGACAGCCACATGGTGGCAGAATAGGCAAACATATGACTGGAGATTCCGGAAATTCTGTGTGAGCTGAAATGAACAAAAAGCTATGACTAGGGTTCTGCAAGAAAACAAGAAGATTTTAACCAATGTAAAGATGAAAGCTGTGAGGTGAAGCAGCAGGAAATGAGCTCTTTGTGAGAGACAATAACTGGATGAAAGTAAGGAGATTTATATTCTGTTCAAGAATTAAGGAGAGTCCTGAATCATGGAACAATGCATTAGGAGTAAACAAGGTATGTATCTTTTTTGGTTGCTATGTCTTCCTGGAGCATTATGTATTTCAATCTACTATTCTACACCTGAAGAAACCAAAAATGGTTCTAAAGTGGCTAATGTGCTGAAGGATTTGAAACTGGAAGTACAGGAATTCATTGATCGCAGAGCCCATCTCATTTCTGAAAGCACTAAACAGTATTTCTCCCTTGATATTCATACTGGGGATATATTGATAAATGATAAAGTAGACCGGGATGTTCTGTGTAGCCAGACAGATGTTTGCATACTTACATCTCAAATTGTGCTTGACAACCCGTTGGAATCATACAATATTGAAATAGTAATAGAAGACATAAATGACAATGCTCCCAAATTCTCGAAAAATGAATTTGGGATAGAAATTCCTGAGAATGTTGCTACAAATATGGTACTTCCCTTGGAATCTGCAGATGATGAGGACTTAGGAGAAAACAGCATCCAAAACTATACACTCAGCACCAATGACTATTTTTGGCTTCATGTGCAAAGGAACAAAGATGGAATTTACAGCGTGGATCTTGTTCTAAACAGATCACTAGATAGAGAAAAGGTGTCACGTCTCAATATCACCCTAATGGCTGTTGATGGTGGGGTACCACAGAAAACAGGCACTGTTCAAATCAACATTGATATTCTGGACATAAATGATAACCCTCCTCAATTTTCCCAATCTGAATATAAGGTAAAAATAAAGGAAAACCTTCCTATGGGCACTTCAGTGGCTAAAGTGGAAGCTACAGATCTTGATTTGGGTTTAAATGCACAAGTCATCTACTCATTCCATGGAACGCCTGAAAGAATAAACAATTTGTTCATTTTAAATGAACGGTCTGGAGAAATTACTCTTAGGGGACAGATTGATTATGAAAAAGAAAGGAGTTATAGCATGAGCATCAGAGCAACAGATGGAGGAGGACTTTCAGGGCACTGCAAAATACTAATAAAGGTTGAAGATGTCAATGACAATGCCCCAGAGGTGTCCATCATATCTCTGACCCACATCTTAAAGGAGGATTCGCCTTTGGAGAAGGTGGTGGCCCTCTTCAGTGTGAGAGACCAAGACTCTGGAGACAACAGCAAAACAATCTGCTCTGTGGAGATGAATCTTCCTTTTGTGCTCAAAGCCACCACAAACAACTTTTATCAGCTTGTGCTCCAAAGTCCCCTAGACAGAGAGACAGTCTCTGAGTACAACATCACCATCACAGCCATTGACTGGGGATCTCCTAGGCTCACTTCAACAAGATTGATTAATGTTCAGATCTCCGATGTCAATGACAACTCTCCCCTTTTTGAAAAGTCTTCATATGACATGCAGATCCGGGAGAATAATATTCCAGGCTTGCTCATCGGCTCAGTCCACGCTCTGGATCTGGACACAAAGCTGAATGCTAAAGTGAGTTACTTAGTTCTGCCCGGGAAGAGTGAGGGCCTGGTGACCTCTTACATCTCAATCAACTCTGAAACTGGAAACATGTATGCCCTCCGGTCCCTAGACTATGAGCAGATAAGAGGCTTCAGAGTTACTGTGAGGGCATCTGATGGAGGTTCTCCTTCCCTGAGCTCAGAAGTGATTGTCCGAATCCACATTATAGATGAGAATGACAATGCTCCCTTCTTCCTGTATCCCCTCCAAAACAACACATCCCCATGCAACGAGCTGGTTCCCAAGTCAGCCGAGGCCGGCTATCTGGTCACCAAGGTGGTTGCAGTGGATGCAGATTCTGGACAAAACTCTTGGCTTTCCTATGAATTGCTGAAGGCCACGGACCCAGCCCTTTTCAGCATAGGAGCACAGAATGGGGAAGTGAAAACCAGGAGGGCCCTGAATGAGCGAGATGCTAACAAGCAGAGGCTGGTGATACAGGTCAGAGACAACGGTCTTCCTCCACAGACCAGCACGGTGTTGCTTAATGTTCTTCTTGTGGATGGCTTTTCGGATCCCTTCCTGAGGAGGGTGGATGTCAGCGTGCAAGAACCGGAAGAAGACAAAACCTTGACCAAGTATTTGGTGATCTGCTTGGCTGCAGTCTCCTTTGTGTTCCTGGTCTGCATTGTTGTGTTTATTGTGGTGAAAGTCTTCAAGAAGGATCCCCAAAGCCATTTTACTGCGGCTGTTCCTCACTTCCCACATGCCAGTGTTGATACCCAAGAGAACTGTGCTGATTCACAGAATGGGTCACTTTCCAGAACTTACCGTTATGATGTTTGTTTGACTGGTGGATCCTTAAGTAGCGAGTTCCGATTTCTCAGGCCTCTCTTTCCGGTCTTTTCGGTGGGAGATGTAAATATTCCTGGGTATCACAAGAATTCTGGTTGTGAAGGCATCTCTGAGCAGGGTGCAGATAACCAATTACATGAACAGGTGAGTTACCATTAAATATTTATATATTTATCATATTATTTTGCCAATTTGGAGGCTGGGTTTTGAAAATGTGCTGAATTAGAATAAAATGATACTCAGTAATTTGAAACTTAGAACATTGTAACAACTGAGTTAATTTCTGGGCATATTATATGAACATGGTGATCCTATAAATTAGCTACAATCTTTTACTGATGTAACTTTTGCTTCAAAGTTCATATATCAAAAAGTTATGGCTTGCCCAATAATAATCTGTAGTCCTAGTAAATATTATGAACATTATTTGCAAACCCCTGGCACTGACATTTTCTTCATGAAGCCCAACTCTAGGCAATGCTTACTCCATTTCCATTGACCCTGATTAGACTAGTTCAGTAGATGAACTAATCTAATTCAAAGATCAACTGAACTATTTCAAACCATTTCTTTCTGCAGATTTCCTGTCAGTAGTGTAAGTGCAGGGGTGGTTTGCACAACCTGCTAAATTAATTGATTAAATGCAGGGGTGGGATACGACAGGGTTAACTACTGGTTCGGGATTTACAAGCTTTCCTGCACGCTGGGAGCCACATGCCTGTAAATCATCAGCAGCAGGCTGCATGCAGAGAAGCAGTCTTTGAAACAGCCTTTTTTCCTGCTTTTTAAACTGCAGCTGTGCCTTGTTCAGCAGCTGAAGTTGAAAAATCAGGAAATAAAGATCAGGTAAGAACCCAGTTGGGCGGGTGGGCAAAAACATCAGCAGACATGGAACTGGTTCTATGTCTGCTGCTCTTCAGAGCTACCGGTTCTACAGAGGTGGACAGAATTGGTAGAAACTCACCCCTGATTAAATGCAATAAAATAATTTGCATGCAACATAAAATAGGAACCAACTATCATCACCATTTTGTGTGAATCAGGCCATCGTATTAAGTCACTTTTGAGTATAGTCATTTGGGTGAACACAGCAGTTGTTTATAATTTAGTAGTTGGTTAAGAATCTACATATATAAAAACAAAATACCACTCATGCATCATCACAAAATCTCCAGAACCGTAAAGCCTACAAACTTGAAATTTGGCACATATGTTCCTCTTGGCTTCTAGGTGCTCACTAAGAAAGGATTTTTCAAAATGGGCATCTAAGCATTAGTATTTTGTATATTATTATTAACACGCTCTGATGCTAAAGAATTCTAATTCCCATTTCCACCTAAAAAGAAATCTGTTCCAAATGCAAAACACAAGCAGAGGAGAGGAGTTTCAGTTTCAGTTTCACAGCAGCAACCAGCTTCAGTACAGAACAGTTGAGCTAAGCCACACAGAGGCTCCTTGCTATCTCCTTCTTGTTCACACAGCAAATACTGTTTCAGTTTCCAAACAGCCCTGAACTCTTTCACACACTGACAGGATGCTAGCTAGATGAATACTGATGGACGCTGGTAGGCAGAGGCAGAATTCTTCCCCCTTATTTTCCTCCCCCAAAACTAAGCCCGACCACATAGTTTCATAGCAAAGCAAGTGCATCGAGTTAGTTTAGTATATTGTATGAACTTAGCTGTTGTGTGTGTAGAAAAATATCCCTTATTCTAAATTGAGTATTTGCACAGTGTACCACTACCATCTTTTTCAATGTTCCCATTATCTTTTTCACTAATTGTTTTCTAATTAGGGGTGGAGTAAAGGAGTTGTGTTATTCAGGATACCTAATGGCATTTAAAAAAAGGAAATGCATAGATCTGATCAGAAATAAGTATCCTGTTAATTTTTCGGTGTTAAATGATTAGAGGCTTGGAAATGATTTGAAGATAGAGGAGATCAGCTGCAATAGAGTAATAATGCTATTTTGTTATACAGGGAAGACCGGATGCTTTTTTCTGTTTAATTTTTTTTTTAGTTAAAATAAAGTAAAAATAAAGTCATGAAGGTAATGAAACATCTGCATTTTAAATCAGGCTGACAATGATACCAGGAGTATAATATGTGTGGATGTGGTGGATGTATCAGGGATATATATGTACATATCCAAATCAAATACAGCATCCATCCATACATACAGTACATACATGCATAGCAATAGTGAATCTTTGCCCAATAGCTATTTTTGATGATTTCACCTTTATCGCCAAAGTCATTGTATTTTAAATATTCATTTAGAGTAAATATTTTTGTTTTTTCCTATGGTGACTAACTGTACAAATTTTAAATAATAGACAAAATATTAATCAGCTTTTTTATTTTAAAAAAACTCTAAACATTTAATGACTTTAAATACCATATTCTAAGCTTTCTTTGTTAATATCAGGTCAAGACAGCTAACACTCTTCTGGGTTCTTCTGGTCAAAGAAAGAGACAATTTTTAGCAAGACAGGAATTTTCTTGAAGGCCATAACTTACTTCTTCTATTACATATATTAATCCACCTCTACTATTCTTCAATAGGTGAAGGCCCTCATTTCTTTGCACAATTTATTTGTCCTTTGAAACAAATGTAAGGAAACAAGAAAAGCTGCTGAGATTATTTTCTTGTGCCCTTCAACATTGCAGCTGAAATCAAGACAGACTTCATCTGCAAAAAACAATGCAAATTGCTCTCAGCAAGCTGCAACTGTTCTGTCATCTTCTTCCAAAAGTCTTGGTAATGTATCACATTTGGAAAAGTGTACTATGTAGACACAGTGAAAATAGTAAAACAAACAAAATGTTAAAAAGTAGGGGTGCAAAGCCCGGCCCCAATCCATGGCTTGTTTGAAACTAGGCTATGCAGCTAGAAATGAGCGGCAGGCGAGCAAAATTGCGACTAAGTTTCATACCCCTCCCATGGTCCATGGAAAAATTATCTTCCACAAAACCAAAAAGGTTGGGGACCACTGTTTTACAAGGATGAGTTGGGTGAAAAACAATTACAAGGACATAAAGATGTCTCTGGTATCATACTCAAAACATGTTAAGCAGGCACGAGATATTTATTACTTCTCATTTCAAAATACACTAGTTTTAGATGTGTCTTGAACTATTTTTGATGACAGTTTATGCTAATAAGGAAATCCTCATCCAACCTGGGTCTGCCTAAATACAGAAAAGAAAACCAACCAATCAACCAACCAACCAAACAAAAAAATTGGCATCAACAGTCTGACCAAGCTGAGGCCGGTTGAATGCCATTAGTAGGCCATTAGTTAACTCCAGGATTTAAACAAAAAACAATTTTCTTTAAGGTACCAAAAGAAGATAAGATTCACCTGTTGCACAAAGTTAAAAAAATTCAAAAAATCCCTAACACTATTTTAAACACAGTCACATTTGAATTTCCAGCCTTGTCTGAGGTAACTTCCTCATCCCTAACCCTAACCCAAACGCTCTGCTCAAAAGTAGGATTGCCAGAGGAGTTTCTTAAAAACAACCCAGGTAACAAGAAGTATAATAAATAAGTTTTAAACTAAATTATTTGTATCTACTTATTGACAGGTACAACATAAAGTTACAAGTAATCCCAACTTTCTACCAAAATTGGGATGGAAATTTTGTTAGCTAAGGATGCAGTTGTAATCAAGACATCACGAGAGAAGATGGCAAAGAAGTAACAGGCAGCAGAGAGAAAGCAGAGCTGCGTAACTCATTCTTTGCATTGGTCTTCATGCAAAAAGAAACAATAATCCAACCTACCAAAAACATAACTGTAAAAGACAGACTAGAAATAAAAGTTAAAATAAGCAAAAAATGGTAAGAGAACACTTGTCTGATCTTGATGAATACAAATCACTGGGACCTGACAGATTACATCCCAGAGTTCTAAAGGAGCTGGAAGATGTCATCTCAGTTCTTAAAGGAGTTGGCAGATGTCATCTTTCAAAAATCCTGGAGCATCAGGGAATTACCAGAAGACTGGAAAAGAACTGATGTGGTTCCCATCTTCAAAAAGAAAAGAAAAAGATGTGGGGTGGGGTGGGGTGGGGTGGGAAGACCCAGGAAACTACAGATCAGTCAGCCTAACATCAATACCCAGGAAGATATTAGAAAAGATAATTTAAAAAAAAACAGATCTGCCAACATCTAGAAATGAGTAAAGTAATAACTGGAAGCCAGTATGGGTTTCTTAAAAACAGATCATGCCAGACTAATCTTATTTCATTTTTCCACATGGTGACTAAATTAGTAGACCAGCGAAATACTATGGGCATAATATATTAGACTTCAGCAAGGCATTTGACAAAGTAGACCAAGCCTACTTCTTGATAAGCTAGAAAAAAGTGGGATAGATAGCATCACGATCAGATGGATGCGCAACTGGCTGTCAAACCATACTCAATGAGCAGTCCTTAATGGTACTACATCTACATGAAGGGAAGTAAGCAGTGGGGTACCACAAAGTTCCATCTTAGGTCCAGTGCTCTTCAATATCTTCATAAATAACTTAGATAAGGGAATAGAAAGGGAATTTACCAAATTGTGGATGATACTAAGCTGGCAGGAATAGCCAACACCCTAGATCAGTGGTCACCAACCGGTGGGCCGCAGCCCACTGGTGGTGCATGAGAAAATTTTGGTTGTCTGCAGTGCACCCATGTCTGCAATGGGTGATACTGGCAGCAGATGGACTGATGTGCGTGGGGAGGGAGGGTAGCGCTAGGGAGATTGAGGCATCGGAGCCCTTCCTGGGTGTTCCCTGGCCTGCAAGGGGGTGGGGTTGGGGGGAAAGGAATGTCTGAACTGGTGCTGGGTGGTGGAAATCTGATGTCTGGAGGCCAACGAGCCACATGCTGAAGACCAGATATCTGGCGGGGAGGTTGGGCAATGCTGCAGTCTCCCTAGCAAACCCATGTCATGGCTGCTGCCTCCTGCCTCAGTGCATTGAGTAGCAGTGGGAAGAGTGTGGACCTCCTGAGCTGCAGGAAGTGGCTGCCCGCGATGCCCTCAGGTAAAGATGTTGCGAGGGGGACCCTCAGGGAGCCTCAGGAGCTGCAAAGTGCTTCTGGAGAGGAGGAAGAGAAGCTCCTGAGAGGAGGGGCTCAGGAGATTGTGCCCTCCCCTCGCAGTACAGGGAACACCCAGGAAGGGCTCCAATGCCGTGATCTCTGCGTATCAGTCCATTCACCGCTGGTATCACCCCTGTTGCCCCACCTTCCCGCCAGCCACCTGATCTTCAGCATGAGGCTCATCAGCCTCTGGACATCAGATTCTCACCACCTAACACCAGTTCAGATGGTCCTTTTCTCCCCACCCCACCCCTGAGGACAGAGAGAGGGGGTGGAGAGAGAGAGAAAGGAAGAGAGATAAGAGATCTTGGTGTTTTGTTTTCCATGGGAAATGGTTCCATATGACTCTTTGAGTATTTAAGGTTGCAGAAACAGGCAGCCAAACTAAGTCCCTGAAGGACCCCATCCCATCAGTGGGGGTCCGGGTGCTTCAGCGAGCGGCATGCTCGATTCATATTAATGGGCCGCAGGATTTAAAATTATAAGTTTGGTGGTCCCTGAAGTCCAAAAGGTGGTGACACCAGGACTAGAGGACCTACCATGTTTTCCAACTCTATTAATTTGTTTCTGTATCTGTAATATATAAAAAACCTTAGGTTTTATTAAATTTTGAAATAAAAGAAAAAGAGAAATGCAGATGGGGATTGAAAAAAATCCAGATCTAGGTTTAAAAACTTCTCACTGGCAACCTTGCTCAAAGGACACCAAAATTCTTCCTGCCCTAACTGTTAGAACTCCCTTATTTTCTTTTATTGGCTCTCAGGAGTCAGGTGATTCACTCTAGGCACGTCAGATTGGCTTGTTCTGTAAAGGCCCAGCTCCTTTCTGTCTGTTTAATAACTTATATCCCACATTTTCTTTGTGGGCTTCCATAGGGGCTACTTGAGGTTACTCATTAGGTTATCCTCACAACCATGATTTTGAGTTAGACTTGGTGAAGGGACAGGCTCCATATTTGAATGGAAACTTGAACCTGAATGTCTCCAGTCCTGGTCCAATACTGCACAACATAAGCTGGTGTTACAATCAAATTAATTTCATATATATATTAACCCCCACCAAATAAGATTTTATACACAATCCAATAACCCACTATGTTCTGGTTGATTGGTTGATGATGAATAGGGAGCAGACATGCCAAGATGGCCTTCCTGTAACAGGCACCTTGTAATTCTTAGTCCCTGTAGAATGGCATAGGCCCTCATATATTTCTTATTTGTGTAGAAATAAAGCATTTTTTTTCTAGAAGGGAGAGAGGGACATCCCTCAAGATGCTTTTTCTCTCCTAAATCACTAAGCCCATCATACTATAACTTGATGTGTACTTCCTGGGAGACAGAGGATGCACCTTCTCACTGACCTTCAGTCCCCACTCTGCTGCAAAGTGCAAGTATAGTTTAAGTGAAACTTTCCAAAGTTCCATTTCACCTCAGTAAGGCAACCACAAGGGGAGACAGTAAGGGCAGACATGCACAAAACCAAGGATGCTAGAATGCTTATGGATCAACATAAAAGGAAAAAAGAATGACATTGCCATAGGTGTATACTGTAGGCCATGCAACCAAGCAGAAGAAATAGGTGAACTTTTTTGCTAATCAGTTGACAAATGTATGTAAGAAACACAGTAGTAATGGGGGACTTTCACTACCCTGATATTAACTGGGACAAAAACTCATCAACAAGTGGGACATTGAACAGGTTCCTGACCAGTGGAGGGATTCAAATTTTTTTACTACTGGTTCTGTGGTCGTCGCTTGGCAGGGGAAGGATACTGTAAAATCTCCAGTCAGAGGTGGTATTTGTTGGTACTCCAAACTACTCAAAATTTCTGCTACCGGTTCTCCAGAACTGGTCAGAATCTGCTGAATACCACCTCTGTTCCTGACCAACCTGTTCTGACCTAGGCTTCCTTAGAAAGTATGAAACACAATCTTAAGCCCAGCAAAACCTCATTTCTATTCCACAGCTGTGAATTACATTCATTCACAGCCAGCCAGGCTTCACAGTCTTTCAGGGGAATATTTATAAACACCCACCTTATCACACTTGGAATGCAGCCAGAGAACTAATTGCCAGATGCAGGGCAAGGCCAAAATTGATACAGAGTCAAACAGAACTTTTCAAAGCTTGAACCGACCAGATGAACTAATTGCTTCCTGCAAAAGCTCATGTCCTGTTCACTCCTCTTTTATGTCCTATGGGAGGGGCCAATCATCTCCGAGGTGTGGCCTTACTCCTGAGTCAACCCTGCTTTCTCAATTGTTCTTTTCTTCTGCTAGCTCTGCGCACACACAGGCTGGGAACCTGTTCCAGAAGCTCCCCCGCATCACTGCTGACTGTCAGCCTGCCCCAGCCCCATCTCTGCCTCTGATGCAGAGCCCTCCTCTGAGTCTTCCTCAGCCTCCAGACCTCACCCAGGTTCCTATCCAACCTCCTCAATACTGTCTGACTCTGCTGCCAGGTCCATCAGCTGCCGGCAGGCCACAACACAACCTAACTGACAACTTTGATACCCAAAAGGTAGAGGAGGCAATTAGAGAGACAGCTATACTGGACTTTATTCTTACTAACAGAGAAGTGATAGAAGGGATTGAAATTACAGGAAGTTTGGGGGAGAATGACAATGTCACATGAAAATTCAAACCAGAATCTTAGACTTTAAAAGAGCTGATTTTAACAAACTCAGAGTTTAGAAAGGATCCCATGGATGAAACTCTTAAAGGGGAAAAAATGTCAGGAAGCTTGGGAAACTTTGAAAAATATGATAATGCAAACACAGTCCATGAGCTCAATACCACCGAAAAAGAAAAACAAGAAATTCAAGAAAAAAATAGCATGATTGCATAAAGAAGTCTGACCAACTGAAAGAAACAAAAGGTAAGTAAAAAAATGTAAAGAGGGACACATATCTAAGACAGAATATGAACAAATAGCCAAAATCTGCAAAAACTAACTTTGGAAAACCAAGGCTTAGAATGAAGTAAGACTTGCAACAAACATCAAAGACTATAAAAATGTTTATTTCAACATAAAAAATAAGGAAAAAGTCAAAGAGCAATAGGTACACTAATGGGGGAACATGGCAAAGAAGTAACAGGCAGTAGAGAGAAAATAGAACTGCTCAATTCATTCTTTGCATCGATCTTCATACAAAAAAGGAAATACAGTCCAACTTATAAAAAACATAACTATAAAAGGCACGCTAGGAATGAAAAATAAAATAAGCAAAAATAAGTTAAGAGAGAGGGATTCAAATCACGGGGTCCTAATGGTTTACATCTCAGAGTTGTGAAGGAACTGGCAGATAATGATTTCTGAACCACTGAACCATGTCCTTCAAAGTTCTTGGAGCACTGGGGAACTACCTGAGGATTAAAAAAGAGCTGATGTGGTTCCCATCTTCAAAAAAGAAAAAAAAATAAGATCCAAGAAATTACAGACCAATCAGCCTAGATGGATTTGTAACTGGCTGACAATCTGTACTCAATGAGTAGTCCTTAAGGGCATTATGTCTAGATGGAGGGAAGTAATCAGTGGGGTACCACAAAGTTCTGTTTTAACCCCAGTATTCTTCAATACCTTCATAAACAATCTAGATGAGGGAGGGATTTCCGGTCTGCAGCGCTTCGGAGCAGGCAGGAATCCGCGACTGTACGCGGTTTCTGCCTGTGTTCACTGCCCGAGTGCCCCGAATCATCCAGCTTCAGGGCTAAGCCACCTCTGTAGAAGGTGGTGAAGACAGGGGGGCTCTGGCAGGGTCGAGAGACATCACATCTCTCTTCCCTAGCCAGCTAAACCTCCTTTTCCAAAGGCAGCTGAGCGGCGGTCAGCAATGGCTGCCACATGGAAGAGCTCAGCCGGGAAAAGAAAGTGCAGGAGGAGCTGTGAAGAAATGAAAGTGATCTTTGCTGACCGGGACAAAGCAACAGTGAAAGTATCCTGGAACTTAAAATTTACTAAAGATACATTGTTCCCAGATTGTGCTAAGCGGCAAATGGAAATTAAAGAGAAAACTTTTTTTCTTTTCATTCTCCTTCCAAACGTAACAGCGATAGAATTTTATGAGAAATCGGAAAACCCGCATTGGAGGTATGCTGAATGCTAAAGGCTATGCTAATGCTAAGGGGATATGGATTTCTGAATATTTAAAGAAAAATCTTTTTTGCTGTAAATGGGAAGGGAGAGCAAAAAAATTGGAGTAGAATTTGGAAACAAGGAGGAGACTGCCTAGAATTTTAAAGAGCTATTTGAACATTAATAAGACTTCAAAAAGATATATTTTATTTGGAACTTTGTGATTCAACAGCTACCCCAGAAAAAGAAACGGAAGAAAGAAAAAAGTGCTAAAAGAAATAGTTTATTTGGATTGTTTGGTGACTTTGGAACTTTTGGGAATTATTTTTGATCAAAAGCACTTGGGTGGTTGTTTTGGGAAAAAATTTTTTCTCTTTATAATGGCATTATCTGTGGATGAATTAAAAACTGAATATCAAAAATATAAAAAGGAAGAACAAGAATGGAAAGATACTTTGGGCACTCTTTTTCAATTTCTAGAAATGGCGGTATGTACTTATGGAGAATTAATTGCGCAGCAGGATGATTGGGATAAAGAAGAAGCCATCTTTGATGAACAAGTGATTCTATTTGGGGAGGAGAAAGAGGAAAAGAAAAAGGGGACTTTAAGACTTAAAAAAACAACCAAAAAAGACAAAAATGAGTTGAAAGGTGGATACAAGGTTAGAAAACAACAGAAAGGGGGAAAGCAGAAGAAGAAAAGGGAGGTGGAGAGACAAAGGGGTAAAAAGGGTAAGGAGAAGAATAAGCAAGGGAGAAAGGAAGGGATGAGAAGCCTTAATGATGGGAAGCAAGATTTAAAGAAACAAAATTCATTTAGAGACAATGGGTAAATTTAATTGGGAAAGGGATTCTGTAAGGTACATAAGATTGTGTTTTTATATGTGTTTTTAGAATAAAATGCTTAAGATATAAATGAGTATTAATATATATGATTAATTTCTTAATGGTATTGATAGTGGTACTAGCCACACTATATATCTATAAATCTGTTCCTTTGTTGTTGTTGTTGTTTTCTTATATAATACATTGTGTAATTTTAGAATGTACTAAACAGAATCCCAATACAAGTTATGTGTGATATTAAGTATTATTAAGCTAGTGGAAAGAGATAAAAGCGTCATACTCCAATCAGTGTACAGGAGAAGTTTTGTTTAAAGAGAAAAGATGAATGGATAGATGGAAATAGAACAGACAAAGAATGACAAGTGTTATGATTTGAACTGAGATGAGATAAGTAGAATAAAACTAAGAAAGTCAAAAGAGGGAAGAAGCTATATAGAAAATTGAAAATGGTAATAAGATATGGAATGGTATATAAAATGAACATGATTTTTGAAGTTGTGTCTGTACGAAGAGTTTTAACCCGGGATCAAGCAACTTTCAGAAAAGATGTTTTATGTTTTTATGTTTTATGTTTTGTTTGTTTGTGTATTGTCCTTGAAAAGCAACAAAAAAATTTCTTTTTTTTTTAGTAAGAAATATAGTTTGAATAATAGAATGAAAGGGAGAAACAAAGAGAAGCTGGGATAAGATATGAAGTTGAACAAATAATGTAATATATATATTAAATTGTGTTTGTATGTGATAATTTGGATTTATTTTGTTTTCAAATAAGATGTTCTATTGGTCTCTCTAGAAAAGATCTCTTATGTTATTATATTCTATGATTTGTTTGTGTATTGTTTTTGTAAAAACTAATAAAATTTGTTTTAAAAAAAACAATCTAGATGAGGGAGTAGAAGGGGAACTTTTCAAATTTGCAGATGACACTAAGCTGGCAGGAATAGCCAACACCCCAGAAGATAGGCTCAAGATCCCAAAGGATCTCGACTGACTTGAACACTGGGCCCTCTCTAACAAAATGAAATTCAGTATAGGTAAAAGTAAGGTTTTGCACTTACAGTTTTGCACTGTTATCCAAATTTACAGATATAGACTAAATGGGCTTATTGCCAGTAATTCTGAGAGGGATCTTGGAATCCACGTGGATGATGTGGTAGCAGTGTTCCAATGCTTGAGAAGCTGCAAAAGTAGAAGGATTAAACTATTTTCTAAAGCACCTGAAGGCAAGACAAGAAATAATAGATGGAAACTAATAAAGGAGAGAAGCAACCTAGAACTAAGAAGAAATTTCTTAATGGTGAGAACAACCAACAATCAATAACCAACCAGTGGAATGGTTTGCATTTGGAAGTTGAGAATGCTCAAACACTGGAGGCTTTCAAGAAGAAACTGGACAGCCATTTGTCTGTGTTATTTACCCTGTTGGTATATGAGATACACAGTAAGGAAAAATGGAGGTCACCTTTCTATCCATTCCAAAAGAAAGGCCTATTCCAGATTTTCTGTGTTTTAACATGATCAGTGCTGGCAGTGATTGACATACACACTGATTGGAGACAGTGACGCCCTGTTAATTTGTAATTTAAAATTTCCATGGCAGGAAGTGAATTTCAGACTTGTCAAAGTATCTACTCCAAAACAAAAATAAAACTGGAGTTTGTAATATCCCCAATTTGTACAATATCTTATTTTTATTTGGCAGTGATTTTTCTTTCTAAGGTTAAAAGCAAATAAATTATTCTATTGATGCATTTGATGATAAGGGTGTTTATGTTCACATCACTTACATTTTACCAGGAAATGTGCTCATATCATTCAAGTTAAACAACCACACTGGAGAAATTACTCTTGTAGGGAAAGTTGATTATGAAAAAAATGGCAAATATGAACTAAATATCAAAGCCGAAATATCAAACCTAAATAACTAAATATCATAGAGGCATGACTGTAAAGTCCATGTGGACATTGACGATGAGAATGACAACAGCCCAGAAATCATCTGTCACCATACCAGAAGGTTCTTCTCTAGGAACAGTAGTGGTTGTTTTCAGTGACCAGGACTCTGGTGACAACAGCAGAACTACTTGCAACATTGATTCAAACCTGCCCTTTATCGTAAAATCCACAAAAAACAATTATTACCAGCTTGTGATTCAACAGCCATTGGACAGAGAACAAATGTATGATGCCTCTCCTGGATGCTTCTGCAGATACCTCTCCAGATGTTAGTTCAAAGGAAGATGAGCTGATCTCAGGCACATCAGGAGGGGAAGCAGCCAAGGGCTACAAGCCAGGAGTGGAATGGCCAAGCCCAGGGGAGTGACCAGACAAGCAGCTGCCTGAGCTAGAGACAGGTCCAGTTGGGAAGCCCAGAGACTTTGGGTGAAGACAGCACACAGCTGCAGCTGGTCAGTGGAGAGGAATGGGAACTGCTTCCTTCTCCCAATTGGAGAGCATGTAGGGCTGAGAGGAAGCAAACACAATAAAGGTCAGCTAAGCTACTTGTGAGGAGGCGGCCTTGCCCCCTCTTGATTGGCTGCACCAAGAAGCAGCTGTTTAGGTCAGCAAGAGGAGTGAAATGATGCTGAGAACAGTATGTCATTTTCTTGCTGTGTCAGCTGTCATGATTGTTGTCCTGAATTTTGGATGTGCCTCTTCAACTCTGGACTGACCCTGTGGACTTGCCTTTGCCTATTGGACTTGCCATGTCTTTGTGTTGTAGCCTGTTGAACTCACTGGGGGTGGGCTGGTGCTAGCAAAGGGAATTGCTGAAGAATACTAACTCAGGCTTGGAAGCCTTAATAAAGATGCCTAACACCTATGTTGTGTGTCTGTGAGAGTAGGACAGCACAAAATATAATATCATTACAGCCACTGACCAAGGCTCTCCCAGACTCACTCCAATGAGAATTACTATTCCTATTTCATATATCAATGACTCTCTGGTATTTGAAAAATCTTTTTATAATTTGCACTTACAAGAAATCAATTTCAAGGTCTGTTCATTGGATTCATACATGATTCCAATTTGATACATGATTCCAATTTGATTTGACAGAATAGAATGTCAAAATGACGTATTAGTTTTTGCCTGGGAAGATCAGAAATGGCCCAGCTCTATCCTCATCTCCATCAGCTCTGAAACTGGGAACTTGTATGCCATTCGATCCTTAGATTATGAGGATATACCAAATTTCCAGGTGATGGTGAGAGCTGTAGACAAGGCTTGCCTCCACTAAGCTTAGAAACGATAGTCCAAGTTCTTATCACAGATGAATATGACATTGTCCCCTTCATCCTCTGCCCCTTTCAGAACAGCACTTCTCCATCAAATGATCTGGTTCCCAGGGGAGCAGAGACAGGCTACCTAGTCATTAAAGTGGTGGCAGTGGACAGAGATTCAGGGCAGAATTCTTGGCTTTCCTATCAGTTGCTGAAGGCCACAGATCCAAGTCTCTTTGCTGTTGGGACTCAGAATGGAGAGGTGAAAACCATGAGGCTGGTGAACATCCAAGACAGTTTCAAACACACTCTTATTGTGGTAATTAGGGATAATGGGTATCCTCCTCAGTCTGCCTCTGTGACCCTAAGAATTATTCTAGTAGATAGCTTCTCTGATCCTTACATGAAAATTATAGACAATCCCAATAGTGAAATTCCACATGAGGGAGATCATAAACTATCAATATATTTAATTATCTGTTTCAGATTCGTGTAACTGCCATTCTTCAATGGAAGAATAAGGGGGTGGTGGTGGTACAAGTAATCCTTTTTGATATAACCTGAATATATTAAATCTTATATTGAATCTGTATAACTTGCACATGATATACAACTGGAGGACTGGAGCCAGATGTCTAGAAACTTGTCACCTCTTGGAGAGATAGCAAGAGGAGAAGGGACCATAAAAATTCCATCCTGGAAGATACTCCCTGGGAAACTCTTCTAAGATACGTTCCCAGAAAAGGGGAGGGGGGAATTAACATATTGGTTCTTTTTTTGACTAAATCCACAACTAAATAAGGGTAGGGGTTCTAACTCCCTTTATCTATTACTATATGCCTGGCAGCATCTCAGATTCTGCTTTGACTAGTACTGGGATCACTTCCTTTCAATAAAGAATTCCTTTTCAAGTGCCTAGCTTTCAGATGTTCATGTTTTTCTGTTGAAGGGGAAAAGTCCAGTGCTTACAATCTGTTTGATCACCATCTCATCCATTTTCTTCCTATCATGGTGCTTCTTGCAATCAAGTTTCAAATGTGACAGAAATTCATAGACAGCTCTAATTCTGCATCTACTTTCCCTGTGAGACAACATTTGCATAAGAATTGTGGAGATTCTAATTTGATGCATATTTTCCAGGCCTATAATTATGAGGTGTGTTTAGTTGGTGGATCTTTGAATAATGTTTAGATTACTCAGACCTCTGTCTCCTGTTTTCAATGGATCCTACTAGCTTTCACATGAATCTCCAGATTAAATCTGCAGAACCTTTTGGTCATGAAGTAGAGAAGAAATTTGTATGCCAGCCAGCTGAGAATAATTTTGGTGGTTTTTGTTTGTTCGTTGGTTTGCTTTATGGTGAATTTGAAAATGGTATTGGGAATTTTGCATTGCACTAATATTTTTACTTTTTATTGAATTTGTTCTAATTTATTGTGTAAAGTGTAGAGCTGAATTTAATACATTTAAATATATATATAAATTTGACTTCAGAATGCTTCTCTTTTTCTTTGTTATTGTAACATACACATACCTTAAAATGCTTTGTATTCTTTTTCCTTTTATAAATTGAAGGAAATTAGTGATTTTACTTTTCTTGAATATTCTAAGTAATTTGTACATTTCTATGATTATGACTTTCCAAAGTAGTTCTGCAAGTAGAAAAGTTAATGGTATCAACTAAAACACAGAGAAATAAGAAATGAACACTTGGACTAGGTTCCCAGATATACTTTAAAATTTTTTCCATGTTAGAAGATCTTTATCAACAAAATAAGCAAATAAGAAAAAAAGAATTTAACTGGAAATTTCACATAAATATCCCATTGTCAAATTTTATCTTTTTCTTAAGTAAAGACAATTCAAAAGGTAGTGAGAGTGAAAATAAAAGTCTGGGTATTTATAATACAAACCATTCAATACTTTTTCAGTTAAAGATCATAAGCTTGTTTTCACAGAAACTTTACTAACTTTTGCTGCAATTAAAAAAATCTGTTCCAAACTATTAAGTAATATATCTCAGATTTTCAAGTCTGTTGTACAATCAGGTGCCATACAATTAGAAACATAGAAGTGATTTGTTTCCTTGTTCAGCCACATAGTGGCAGCACAGGCTAACATATTAATAGACACTCAGATTGTTGTCTTTGAGGAATGCTGAGGAAATGATTATTAGAGATGAAATTAGGGAATGAAGCAAAAACTCCACAGAATATGAGCAAAATTTCAGTGGAATCAAATATCTACATTACAAAACAAAGCAGGTTTTTCTTGTCAGCGGGCATTTTCACCGGATAAAAATTAGGAAGGTAACATTTGGAGAAAAAATTGAAGATAAAGAAATTTCCTACACAATGGACGATCACTTCCTCAAGGGCAAACAAGGTCTGTATCTTTTGCTTTTCTTCAATCTTTTTGGAACACTATGTATTTCAGTTCATTATTCTGTCCCTGAAGAAAAGAAAAATGGGTTTGTAGTGGCTAATATATTGCAGGATTTGCAATTGAAAAAAGGAGAACTCTCTACTCGCAGAGCCTGTTTAATTTTTGACAACACTAAAGAATATTTCCACCTTGATATCCAAAATGGAGATTTGTTGATAAATGATAAAATAGACAGAGAAGCTTTATGTGGTCAAAAGGAGCCTTGTTTAATTTTATCACAAATTGTTCTAGAAAACCCACTGAAATTTCATAATATTGAAATACAAGTCGAAGATGTGAATGATAATGCTCCTAACTTCACAAAAAATACATTTACTATACAAATATCAGAACATGTCCCAGTGAATACCCGAATTCAGATGGAATCTGCTCAAGATGCTGATCTAGGAAAAAATGGTATCCAAAATTACACACTCACTAAAAATTCACATTTCACAGTAGAAGTACAGACTGATGAACATGAAAAAAGAAATGTTGACCTTATTCTGCAGAAACCACTAGACAGGGAGAAGATGCCTCATCTTCAATTAACTCTGATGGCCATTGATGGAGGAGTGCCACAAAAAACAGGCACTGTTCAAATTAATATTGATGTTCTAGATATAAATGACAACTCTCCTCAATTTTCTCAATCTGAATATAAGGTAAGGATAAAGGAAAATCTTTCTAAGGGCACACTGTTGATTAAGGTGGAGGCTAGAGATCCTGATTTTGGTTCAAATGCACAGATCCTCTACTCATTCCATCGAGTGCCTGAACAAATAAATAATTTGTTCCAGTTAAATGAAAGGACTGGAGAAATTACTGTTAGGGGACAGATTGATTATGAAAGGGAAAGTAGTCATAGCATAAACATCAAAGCAATGGATGGAGGAGGACTTTTGGGTCATTGCAAGATACTAATAGAGGTTGAAGATGAAAATGACAACCCTCCAGAAGTGTCCATCATATCTCTGACCAGCACTTTAAAGGAGGATTCTCCCTTGGACACAATGGTGGCCCTCTTCAGTGTGAGAGACCAAGACTCTGGAGACAACAGCAAAACAATCTGCTCTGTGGAGATGAACCTTCCTTTTGTGCTCAAAGCCACCACAAACAACTTTTATCAGCTTGTGCTCCAAAGTCTCCTAGACAGAGAGACAGTCTCTGAGTACAACATCACCATCACAGCCATTGACTGGGGATCTCCTAGGCTCACTTCAACAAGATTGATTAATGTTCGGATCTCCGATGTCAATGACAACTCTCCCCTTTTTGAAAAGTCTTCATATGACATGCAGATCCGGGAGAATAATATTCCAGGATTGCTCATCGGCTCAGTCCACGCTCTGGATCTGGACACAAAGCTGAATGCTAAAGTGAGTTACTTAGTTCTGCCCGGGAAGAGTGAGGGCCTGGTGACCTCTTACATCTCAATCAACTCTGAAACCGGAAACATGTATGCCCTCCGGTCCCTGGACTATGAGCAGATAAGAGGCTTCAGAGTTACTGTGTGGGCATCTGATGGAGGTTCTCCTTCCCTAAGCTCAGAAGTGATTGTCCGAATCCACATTATAGATGAGAATGACAATGCTCCCTTCTTCCTGTATCCCCTCCAGAACAACACATCCCCATGCAATGAGCTGGTTCCCAAGTCAGCCGAGGCCGGCTATCTGGTCACCAAGGTGGTTGCAGTGGATGCAGATTCTGGCCAAAACTCTTGGCTTTCCTATGAATTGCTGAAGGCCACGGACCCAGCCCTTTTCAGCATAGGAGCACAGAATGGGGAAGTGAAAACCAGGAGAGCCCTGAATGAGCGAGACACTAACAAGCAGAGACTGGTGATACAGGTCAGAGACAACGGTCTTCCTCCACAGACCAGCACGGTGTTGCTTAATGTTCTTCTTGTGGATGGCTTTTCGGATCCCTTCCTGAGGAGGGTGGATGTCAGTGTGCAAGAACCAGAAGAAGACAAAACCTTGACCAAGTATTTGGTGATCTGCTTGGCTGCAGTCTCCTTTGTGTTCCTGGTCTGCATTGTTGTGTTTATTGTGGTGAAAGTTTTCAAGAAGGATCCCCAAAGCCATTTTACTGCGGCTGTTCCTCATTTCCCACCTGCCAGTGTTGATACCCAAGAGAACTGTGCTGATTCACAGAACGGGTCACTTTCCAGGACTTACCGTTATGATGTTTGTTTGACTGGTGGATCCTTAAGTAGTGAGTTCCGATTTCTCAGGCCTCTCTTTCCAGTCTTTTCTATGGGAGAGCTAAACAGCCTTCAGGGCCACAGAACATCTTCTGATTCCCAAGATACTGCTCAGCAGAGTGCAGGTAGCCAATTAAAGGAAGAGGTGAGTTAACCGTTGGATGAAAGTACAGATTTCTTATCTTTATTTTGCTATATTCCTTTATATCACTTTTTCTGTGAGTATTTTCTAATTACATAAGACTTGTTTATATAAAACAATGAAGTACAATAAATTGGGACAGTGGTAACTGTCCTTTTATAATTTTGCATCACTTGAGATCATGATATTATGTTGGGCTCAGCATTTTATACAGAATAAAAACAAATATTAAGTTAAATAGATTTTTTTTAAATAAATTGAAAGTATCTCTCAGTATGTTATACAAAGTAGGCCATGTGGTTAAGGTATGTGCTTATGCAGCATTTGCACAGGGGAAATATGTAGAAAAACATTAATGAACCTATAACTGTCATGTATATTATTGCCACGGAAAATATTACCTGCAGATCTTTTCAACTCTTGGCTTCAGAGGCTATCCTTAAAAGCTTTTAGTAATCAAGCAGTCTTCTGTATGTAAGAAAAATTGAGGCCTGTTGCCACAAGCCGTCCTCAACTTCTACTTGTAGCCTCCTAGACGGTTGTGCTATTATTGTTATATTTCAAACTCTTACATTTTTAATTATTGCACTATATCTACAGTCCATTTGAATAGAGGTGGTAGATAAATCTAGATAGGATAAAAGGAGGGAGGGAGGGAGGGAGGGAGGAAGGTTAGTTCAATGTGACCATCAGAAAGACCTCTCAGTTCTGTATAATACTATTCCTCTGCCCCTAGATGAATTCAATCATAAATTAAATTCATGTATATTTAAAGTAAATTGATATTCTCTAAAAATGCTTTTACCAATATCAGGTTTCATTTCTGCTATCAATATCAAGCATCAATCCTACCCTATCACCCTCAAGTTCTTCTCTACTATTCTTTTGGTTGAGCGCATATCCTTTTTTGGTGAAGCCTGATCCAAAATTGTATTAGCTTTTTTGGCTGTTGCTGCATGTTAAAATAATCATCCAAGATTCTGACAGTTACTGTGTTTGAGTCAGGTTTCACCTAACCTGTACTTGTACCTTTGTTTTTTTCTGCCTAAGTGTAAAACCTTGCTTTTCTCCACATTAAATTTCATTTTGTTGGTTAGGGCTTATTGTTCAAGTCTGTCAAGGTCTTTTTGAATCCTTGTTTTCTGGGGTGTTGGCTATTCCTGCCAGCTTAGTGTCATCTACAAATTTGATAAGTTCCCCTTCTATTCCAAAGTCATTTATGGAGTTATTGAAGACTACTGGGTCTAAGATGGAACCCTGTGGCACCCCACTGCTTACTTCCCTCCATGTAGATGTAGTACCATTAAGGATTATTCGTTGAGTACAGTTTGTCAGCCAGCTACAAGTTCACCTGGTGGTGATGCTGTTTATCTCAAATTTTCTAATATTCACTTGTATTCCTTTCATTTTGAATACCCTTTATCTGAAGAAGCTTTTTTATGTTGTTGTCACCCTACACCAGTCTCAGCTCATATTTAGCTTCCTGCCATCACTTCTATAATTGTAGTCTACTTACCAGTTACTGACCTCTTTTCCATCTCCAGTGTTTGTCCATTTTGGTTTTCAGAACTTCACAGAGATTTTTGGACAGCTACCCACATGACTACCTCTATCTCATTTTCTTCATTGAAACTGTTTGATGTTTATTGCTTACTAATTGCCTTGATATCCTATTTTCAAAAGATTCTCCTGCCAAAAAATCTTATTATCAGTTGTATCTCCATTGCATTTGAACTTCCCAGAGGCTTCTGGGAAGAGATGCTAGCTGAGGTGGACTGAGAAGAAGTACAGAGGAGCTGGGTAGCTTGCTCCTAACTAAAAATCCAAACCAGCAATAATACATTCAAGGTAAGTGTGCCTGAGACTGTGATCGTCAAGCTGGGTTTGGGGCTCACCATTTCGAGGGGGAGGGAGGAGGAGGCAGCTTACTTTAGGCATTTGGGATTGGAGAGGCATGGAGATGGTGGGAACCCAGCGACACACAGCCAATGGCACTGGAGAATCCCAAGGGCAATAGCTGATGGGCGCAGCTCCAGGATGGCAAGGGTGGCTCACAGCTGACAAGCACAGAGACAGAGTGACTGGCACAGCTTCAAAGATATGCTGGGAGTTGCTGACATGCTTTGTCACTAGCCATAGGAAGATGGCTAGTGAAACGGGCAGTGAATGGATGGGAGGGGGGAGGATGGACATGGGGGAGGGCTTCCCAGGTGTGGGACCACTGGATGTGTGGGTTAATAATTGACTGAATGGATAAAAGTAGCACTGGAAGGCAGAGCTCCCAGCGCTAACTGCATGGGTGTTCCCAACTCATCACGATTTGATGCTCTTCGTCTCTGTAAAGAAGCTGGATTAAAGACCACACACAATTGGACTACCTGGGCTACCGAGTCTCCAATGAAGGCATAGAGATGGACCCAGCCAAAGTACAAGCCATTCTGGTCTGGCAAGCCCCTTGCACCCGCAGACAGGTATAAAGTTTCCTGGGGTTTGCAAACTTCTACCAACAATTCATCCCCTCCTTTGTGAGGATTGCCAAACCCATGATGGACCCCCTGAAGACAGAGAGTCCAGAAATGAAAACCTGCCCGGGACAACCCCTACAGTGAGACATAACCTGCCAAAAAGCATTTGAAACACTGAAAGAACTGCTTGCAAAAGAACCAGTGCTGAAGCATCCTGACCCTGAACAACCTTTCATCATTCAAGCAGATGTCAGTGATGTGGCAGTGGGAGCAGTGTTACTCCAAAGAAAGAACCAAGGAAGCCTACAGCCCTGCACCTACACCTCCTGCAAGCTCATGGACACAGAGAGGCGATGGACTGCATGGAAAAAAGAGGCTTTCATGGTGAGATGGGCACTGCAAACCTGGCACCACCTGCTGGAAGGGGGGCAGATACCATTCAAAGTTTGGACTGACCATAAAAACCTGGAAGCCCTTAGGACCCCATGAAAACTGTCACCTAAACAAGTCCGCTGGGCTCAATACTTCAACCGATTCGACTTCCTGCTAAAATACATCCCAGGGGGAAGGAACTTTCTGGCTGACACCCTCTCCCGTATGCCCCAGTACAAATACAAAAGGGAGGAGGTCATCATCCCCCCATCCAAATAGCTGCCGAAGTAACCACCAGACAACAACATTGCAATTGGCAAGACCAAGCCACAGATGACCTAACTATGAAACTCAAAACTGAACTGCTAGGAGACCCCTGGTTCTGGGACAATCAACACATATTGACAAAAAGGGATGACCTAGCATGGAAGGGGACAAAACTCAATGTTTCAGAATCCCTACACACACTAGTCCTTCAGAGGAGCCACGACGCCAAACTAGCAGGCCACTTCGGGTTCTTAAAGACTTTACACTTAGATTGGAGGCAATTCTGATGGTCCAGCATAAAGAAAGACATGGACAGTTATGTGAAGAGTTGCATCACCTGCACCATGATGAAAAAACAACCAGGAACACACACACCCCAGACTGCTACAGATGGTAGTGGAGCTGACGAGACCATGGGAGGAGATTGCAATGGACTTCTTAGTGGAGTTGCCAAAAAGTGGGGAAAACACAGTGATCTGGACTGTAATGACTTATTTTCCAAACAGGTGCATTTTATACCTTGCAGCGGACTACCCTCAGCCTACCAGTTAGCCAATGGTGCTATTCTACCAGTTTGGCCCAGTTCTGGTGTACTGGTAGTACCAAAGATCAGCAGAAACCAAACCAGTTCTCTCTGACAAGCTGCTGTTGGGTCCACCCGCCTGCCTAGGCTCCCATACTGACCTTTATTCTCTGCTTTTGAAGTGAAGCTGCTTTGCATAGCACAACAGATTGCCGCACATCAGCTGTTGAAGCTACAGGGAAAATGCAGGGTTGCAGGAGGTGAGTAGGAAAGCCTCTGCACACATGCAAAGCATGTCCACCAAGCCACACCCATTGAACAATGTGGGGTGCAGAGAGATTGAATGCCATGGTAGAGCAGTACCTGAGGTGCTACATGAATTATCAGCAGTCCCATTGGGTGGACCTCCTGCCTTTTGTGGAGGTCACATACAATAATGCTGTTCATAATAGCACGGGACTAACCCCCTTCAAGGTAGTAAGGGGTATGGACTTTGTCCCAATACCTGGGTATCCAAGGGATTCCCCCTCCTCAGTCAGCCTGACCAATTGGATGTCAACACTGAAAGCAACTTGGGAGAATGTCAAAAAAAGTACTGGAAAAAGTGGCACACACCTATGAGAGACAGGCAAGACAAACACCAAGCCCCGCAAAGGCCATTCCTGTTGGGGGGGAAGGTCTACCTCTCCACCAAATATCTGAGGTTAAGACTTCCTAGCAAGAAATTGGGACAAAAGTTTATGGGACCATTCCCCATAGTAAAGTTCATCAACCCAGTCATGGTGCAACTGAAGTTACCCCGATTGTTAGGGAAAATACACCCGGTATTCCATAGTATGTCATATGTCACTGCTTTTAGCACCAGTGTACAGCCATCTTGGGAAACGGGCTCTGCCTATGATACAGACATTGAAATCTTGGCCAGAAGATGCTTCCCAACAACTTCAGGATTGTTTTGAGAACACAAATTGGGACATCTTTTACCACCCTGACCTAGAGGAGCACACTGCAACTGTTCTGTGCTATATCAAACACAGCACAGATACTATCACTGTGGATAAACATATTAGGATCTATCCCAATCAGAAACCCTAGATGACCAAGGAAGTCCAGCGCCTCTTGCTTGACAGGACCAAGGCCTTTAGTTCCAGTGATGGGGCAAGATACAGTGTTGCCAGAGCTAATCTGAAGAAGATATTCAGAAGGCCAACACTAATTATAAGAGGAAGATTGAGGATA